CCCTTTATACAAAATGCATTTAGTCCATCTCTGAGAGTCACCAAAGTACTATCAGTTTCATCACTCCTAAAAGTCTAAGTCCAATATTTCTTGAGGTTGGAGGCAAACTCAGAAAGAAAGGGAAACACTGCTGATATATAATGGCACAGGATAAGTATTTCCATTTGAAATTCTCATTTCAAAAGGGAATAGGGGGATAGAAATCAATGGGGCCAAAGCAATGAGAAAATCAAGCAGGACAAACATTGAATTCCATAGCTTCATATCCATCAAATACCCAAGGCAAATTTTGGCAATGAAATATGAATTCCAAAGGGCTTGGGTGGCCCAGCTCCTAAGGCACTGTCAGTAATTACATCCCTCTTGGTTTCTCTCTTCAGCTGGCTTTGCTCACTCCTTGTGGTTTTCCTCAGACATTCCACGTTTCTGGCTTCTCCAAATTTCTCCCACTGCACTTTTGGCTTCACTCACAGCTTCTCACAGTGGTACACTATCTGGCTTCCTAGGCTTTCTTCTGAAATCTGGGTGGAAGACGTCCTGGTGCCACAACTCTTGCATTACTCATCCTTGTAAAATCAGCACCTTCTAGACAACACCATGGTCTGCTGCTACTGTAGATGTCTTAGTTTGAAAACATTATGAGGCCGTTAAGCAGAGCTGGGCCTTCAGCACAGTAGACAATTGTGACTGAAGACTCATTCACTGAAGGCCAGGCTTCAGGAAAAAGAGGAATGACTACATTCACATAGTTCCCCTAGGGATGAACAATAATGATTGATATTCTAAATAAGCATCAATAACCTTGGGCAGTGGACCAAAACCTCCCTAGCCCATTCCTTCCCAGAAAATTCTTGTTCATATCATGTACACTTGCTGCATGACTTGCTTTCCTATTTGATCCCCATTTAATCAATATTACCTAAGCGACTATACTTGTTATAATCTTAATGTTTGACTACAGTTTTTCCCACCTTGTGATTTGCCATTGGATCATTATTATATAATCAAATATATTTATAATCTTATTAGTTGGCTATAGTTTTGTCCCACCATGAACCTGTATCACCTAGTGGCTTTGCTCAATAAAGCACCTTTGAGAAGTGGGGTTCATGGGCAACCCACTTTCTGGGCCCCCTTCTGTCTCTCTTAGACAGAAACTATCCTTCTCTCAATAAATCCTTCCTACTCTTAACCTCTATTGTGCCTAGAATTTATTCTTCTGTTTTAGAATACACAAACTGCATTTCAGACATCTAGTAGGTTGGGAATTAGAATATTTCCCTTCAATTATTTGGAGGTCCATCATTATAGCCTATATCATTTGTAGGTCCCACCAAATTATTTTAAATTTTTATGCCTCAGGTCTTGAATTTTTGTCAAATGCATGTGTTGAAGTTTTTATGCTTTATTTTTCCTTTATGTATTGTTTTTTGTTAAAATTACATTTTATTCCTGTTTTCTATATGTTGCATTTAGACCTAGTTGCTGAATTTACTAACAATACTTGTTTGACCTGTTCTGACTTGGTAGACAACAAAGCTAGGAAAAAGGTAGTGTTAGAATGCCACCTAGTGTACTTTCATGGTTAGCTATACGTAAATTTAGAAAATGCTATAGAATGGGTCTTTTTATGAAATCTAATTTCTATTTGAGAAATACATATACCTATTAATAAAGAACAGGACTCCATTTGGCAGTTAAAAGGTGATAGGATGGCAACTGTTTTTAAGAGTGGGAGGACAAATTTCACTGAGAGAGCCTGGCCCAATCCTTCTCTTTACTCTAGAGAAAATGTTGACCCTGTTCTGCGTCATTTTCCTCTCTGGTCTCATATTCTGCCATTGAGGAGGCAATCTTAGCTCTTGAGATTCCCCATTCTCTCCTCCCCAGCCTGAGACTGACAACTCAGGAGCAAGTTGTCTCAGTAACTCATGGTGAGCATGAGAAGAAAAGACCTACCCTCCTGGTCTTATATGTGATCTTTCCCTGCCACTTTATACTTTCCTTATAGAAACATGTAAAATGAGAAAAGAAGCATCTTTCAAACTGCCCCAACCTTTTCAACTAAGGACCTTTAAGTTGAGCCCATAGAAAATGAGCATTTGTTAATGCTGAAGACAGGGAAGTCACCTTAGATGAGGAACACATTTGGTTTAAGGGAGAATCCCAACATTCTCCCTCTCCACCTACGTCCAGTTTTTATCATTTGTGTGTGTAAGGAAGGGAAAGTTATTCTGCTAATAAGTTGTGGACTGTGAAAAACATTGTAAATTTGTAAAATGCTATGTAATGATTTTGTGGGGGTAGATGGCTTAAGCTTTTATTTGAACTTTTTCTCTCTGCTAGTCAATCATAGCTTTTGCTTATGGAGACCGGTTTTGCTAAGAACTAGAGATTCACTATGAGAAAGCTCTTGATCTTAATTATCTTTTGGCACCTGAAAGGGTTAGGATTTAGTCCTTGTGCCATTGAGTCACTCTTCTGTCCCTTCTCCACTGCCATGAGAAATAATAAGTGTCTGGTCTCAGGCAATTCTCTTTTGTGGGTGCTGGATTTCAAGACCAAGTTTCCAGAATGGTGAGTTTTCCCTCCCTGGGACTGACCCTTCTAGAGGAAAGCTGACCTTCACTTATTTTGGGGCCATATTTAAAACTGGTCTAGATTTAATTCTGAAACTCCTAAGGAATAAATGTACAAATTTTAGTCAAAGTTTATCTGCCTCTTGGTCCTTGGGCAGAACTGGATATTAACCCCTCTTAACTTCCCCTCTCCACTTGAGAATGATACTGATTGGTTTTTATAGCACAGGGTATACTAATTTTTATAACACAGATAAGTTCATTGAAGGAACAAAACATTCCTAGAAAACTTTGAGTTTAGTAACAGTTTTAAGCAAAAACAGCTATTAAAGACTAAGTACAGTCCCAATTACCAGAGGACTACCTCTCTCTTGATTGCTCTCCAGGACATCTTACCTGGCCAGCCTTTATTCTCAGAGATGTGTTGAGGCTCTAAAAAGGAAAGGCCTATAACTAGGCATGGTCCAAGGGTCACAGGAAACATGGGGAAAACTGTCATGGGCAGACATCTACAGCAGATCAGAGCCTTGACAGGCATTCATGCTTATCTTCAAAGAGTGTCACCTTGTCTCTTTTTACACCCAGACCTAACCTATACACTCACCTCTGGGAATAAAATTATATTTTGACAGTCTGCCCCTGTACAGAAAACAACAGCTGTGGCTCTCTGTGGTGACTATTCAACATCTACAGCTAACAAAGCAACAAGGAGCTTATATAGCTAGATTTTCCAATCCGATAAAAAGTAGGCCTAGGGCCAATCTTTAACTTTTTTTTGCTTTCATAGGTGTAAAAGGGTTTTAATTACTTCAGGCATTTTTCTAATAAGCATTTCCTATTCCTTAAATTGATTTTTGGCATCTCTTGATCATACCTTGTGATAATTTTTCCTGTTTATCAACGAGTGCTTTCTGTATTAAAAATGTCATATTAATTTTTTCTAGCCTAGAGTTTTTTCTGTATAAATTTTATGTGAAAGACTATCTTTTGTGATTTTAGTTTCTTGGTTGAGATGATATCCTTTATGTTTTCAAAAACACTAGTATTTTTCCTAATTTTGTTATCAGGATTTAAGTCTTCCATAATTTATTTGTACATAAAATGTGATAAAAGGGCCAATTTTGTTTTCTTACATAGTTATAACCAATTATTAACCATTTCAATTATATTTAATAATTCAAATTACTAAATTTGTTTTAGCATATGCTGGAGTATACAGGCTTTAACTTTGTGGCACAGTAAATGCTTTGCACACAAAAGCCCTGCATTCAATCCTAAGCACTGACAAAAAAAAAAAAAGTTTTCAATCTAACACTGTACTGCTTTAATATCTATACTTTAGCTACATTAATAATTGCATAGTGCAAGTACTACCCTCACACTTCTTCAAAAGTGGTTTCATCTATTTTCAGACCTACTGTTCTATATGAGCTTCAAAATCATGCTAATTTCCAAAAAAATGGAATAGGTCTTTAAAAATATTAATTTCTACTATTCGAGAGGGTGGATCTTATGTTTAAACAAGATTTTAGGTTCTATATATATAAATTTTTTCTCTTCAATTCTTGTTCCTTGAATTTTTCCAGGAAACATGCATGAATTTAATGCAGAAATTTTAAAAATTGCAGTTGTTGGTATAGATTGATTATAACAAAGGTACATTACTAACTAATGAAAATACTAAGTAATAAAGATTGCAGGGTATATGAGAACTCTACTATCATTGTGCTTTTTCTATAAATCTAAAAAGTCTAAAATGTTTAATAAAAGTTCATTTTTCTTTATTGGCCATAGTCTATTATAAATGAAGGACAATGCAATTTGTGAAAGCAAATATATGTGTGTGTGTGTATATATATATATATATATATGACTCAAGAAATTCAACTTTAACATCGCTTAACTTCTGAAATTTGGAATTACTTTGTGTTTAGATAATTGAGTTCTTGAACATTACCCCAACACATCCAGTGCAATCAACCAAGGTCTAGCAGTACTAAGAGCAAATGACATCTAACTTTGCACTTAAGAACATTCCTACATACAGGTACATTTGCTCCATCAGTATGAAAATAACTTAAGAGTAGAACTGTCCACTCATGAGATAGTACTGAATGATTTCCACTGTTCTTGGTCAAGGTGACAGAGACAAACATAACACAAAACCATAAACACAATCTCTAAAGTCTAAAATTGCTTACAGTGTTGATGAATTCACTGATTTACTAAAAGGGGTGTTGCCTACTGTATACTCAGTTCTGTTCAATACTATATACCCAGTTCTAGAACACAGTGATAAACAGGAAGCACATTTTGCACACACACATAGATTACAATGAGGAAACAAGTGAAAGTATTTAAGTCTTGAACAAGCCAAAGTATTTGCCTTGAATTTTAAAAACTATATGAGAAGACCCAATGAATTACTAAACATTAGGCTTTATTTGAACATCATCAGTTTTTCATTGTTTTTTTTTTTTTCTCTTCCAGGAGCCAATACAGTGTTCCACATTGTCTTCAGATGTCCCTTCTCCTGTGGCTCCTCTGATCTGACAACTTCTCAGCATTTCTTTATTTTGTATGACCTTAATAATCTTGAGGAGTTCTGGGTTCACAAATATCCTGTAGAATGTCTTTCATCTGGGTGTGTCTGATGTTTTCTTCATGACTACATTGGAGTTGTGGGTTTGCGAAAGAAGCACCAGTGCTCTTTACATACCAGGGTGTAAGTCAATGAAATGGTGTCAAGGTGGTAACATTCATCACAGCATTACAACAGGCTGTTACCTTTCTTCGCTGTAATGTTATGACAGCTTTCCATACTCAATAATTTTTGGAAGTGATTAGCCCATCCATAAGCAGGGCAAGTTTAAACTCTAGCTCCTGGAGGTAAGAATAACATTTCTAATTATTATCTGGAATAAAAAAGTCTTTTCTACCTCATTTATTTTACATAAGTGAAATTTATTATTATTTATATAAATAAATGGGAATTCATGTATATATCTTACACTTAGTATTATAATTTACATATCTAACACATTTCTTATTTTGTTGCTCAAGTTACATCAGATTTGACCATTAGGACCTACTTTATTTTATTATTTTACAAGGGGTTTTATTAGGTCAGTTTCGTCTGACATAAAAACCTGAAACAATAACTCAACCACCATGATCTTTAATACCTAAATTAAGTCATTTCTCCCTTAATTATACAAAAGTTGATTAAACATTTTAACTTGTCATGTCATGAATTTATCACCTCTCTTTTGAGGTTGATTAAAAGTGTGATCCATTGGGTCAAACCAGGTTTAAATCCCAGTGGTCAACCTGTCAGCCTTAGTCCTGGTAAGGTCATTTGCTGTACTCTATTTTTTTTTTTCTTTTTTTAGTTAATTGAGTTTATTGGTACATTCTAGGTAGACAGTACAGTTACATTCATTATTGGGATCTTGTACCTTTACATGACAGGTCTTGGTTCTCATTTTTCCCCTTGTCCCTGCCCTCCCTTCACCCCCCTCCTCCTCTACCCATTTACAAACACTTTATTTCCATTTTTTCATTTTCTCCTATTTTATTTTCTTTCCCTTATTATCTTTCCCCTACCCTTCCCACTTTCCCTACACCTGCACTCTAATAATCACATTTTTAATATTATCATTCTTGTATATGAGGAAAGCAAAATTTCAGCTGGATATAAAATAGTAACCAGAAGGGTCATACAATTAATAGGACTCTGAGAAAATATTTATATATGATATTCCTCTTATTGCATATTTTAAAATCGTAAACATATTTCAGATAAGCCTACATAATATCAGCAGTATTGCTGATTTATTTACAGCACATTTACTCTTCTCTTTAGGCACTTGCACTGCTAATACCATCATTAATATGTTCCTAATCTCTTATAATACCAACTTGTCAAGAAAAGGCCAGCAAATTATGCTATAATTTTCTTCTTAGCCAAATCCCAAATGATCATTCACATTACCACAAACCTTGATTTTTCTAAAAATGAAGCCAAGACAGCTACCTTCCAAGACAGTGGGTCTTCAAGTACAAAGGCCAAATTAAACTGTGGTTATACAGTTTATTTTTAAAAGTAGCTTATAACAGTATAAATACACATTAAAGATATTTTAGATTAGGAATAATATGAAGTTATTTACATGCTGGCATATGCATGTGTACACACACACACATACACAAAGTGCAGATAAATACAAAACACTACAAAATAAACAAAAAATTCAATATAATTTACCGACAATAATTTTTATATTTAATTTCTCATGCTAGTAGTTGCAAAGAAGCTCCTAGTACTGAAATATAATATGTAAATATTCAACTTTTAAATAAACTACAGTACCTCACATTTTAACAGTATGTAAATAAGGCTCTGAATTAACTAGGAATATTCCCTGCCAAGCTCTCTTTTTGTAAAGATTTAGGCTCAAAGTCCACAAAAGACTCTTGAAATTCCAGCCTTCAATAATGTGGTGACACTGTTGACTTTAAGTACAGGTCATGTACAGGCAGTACTCTTAGATCAGTTCTAGCAGGTGTCATTCTTTGCAAAAAAAGGTGGTTGAGGATACATTGCTGGGTATAAAACCGCTTAATGTGCTTCCACACAGAGAAGTATGCACACTTTTCACCTGAAAGATGGAAAAACTTTAAGGCACAATAGGGTTGTTCTCAACCCTTGAAGGATACGGACCCCAGAAACGATGAAAGATGGCAGAAGATAAAAAAAATGGGAGAGAGTGGTTATCTAATTGAGGTGGTCTGGGCACCTTCAGCTGCATATGAGCATAATGAAAAGTGAAAAATTTCTATGTTGGTATAGCTGAAAATGGCCCTTTGTGTCTCCCCATAAATTCCCTATGGCATCAAGAAATAGTCACCCTTGTCAAGAGGTGAAAAAAATGACATTTTGGGATCCCTAACACACAAAAACCTTACTCCAGACAGTATTCTAGGTCATACAGATCAGTTTTCTGTCAATGATGTCTTGTGAGTGCTGTCAAAACTGCTAATCTGAGATTATTTAAAATAATGGATGACAGCCCTAAAATTACCTAAAATCTTATTCACAGATCAGATAATGTAAAAAGTCCACACTATGCATAAGCCTCAGTTTCCCCAAAATTATTACCAATGGAACCAGCACCTGAAACAAAAAGGCAATGGTAACAATGAATGGATACAGCCAGTGTGTTCAGGAAATTGAGACTATCTGGTTAATACTTGTTATTAAGTCTGAATCAACAGGCAATAGTTTGGTCATAGACTGTCCAGAAAAGCAGAAGCATTTAAAAAATAGTTTTGATTTTAGAAGGTAAAAAAAGCAAGGATGCAAAATTACATAGAAATTTTTACCATAAGGGACTATCCTTTGCTCAAAAGGAAAATAACTTCTGGACAAGAGTCAAACCTCTGCTTTCTATCTTTACCAGGAGATAGGACTGCAGAATGCTACTCAATAATGTGAGGTCATGGTAAGAGATGCAATGCAAGTTACAAATTTGCTGTGAAACCAAAGAATAAAGTCTGATCCTGTTGGTCTGCCTTTGACTTCGGTGAAAAAGGGTAAGTCAGATTAGGGTTCTAGACACTAACTGATGCACCCTCCATACAGCCTGAGTACCCCTAATCCCAAAATCCAAAATCTAAAACCTTTTGTCATGTATATGATGCCACAAATGGAACATTTCATACCATGTAAGTCAGTTTTACCTACTAAGTCAATAAACTATATAAAACTTCCTTCAATCTTTGTGTATAAGGTACATATGAAACAAACGAGTTTCATGTTTCCTAATATTCCCCCACAATATTTGCAGATTTTGGAACTATGGCATATACACGGAGCAATGGCATATATAATCATGGCATATCTTATGTATATGCCATTGTTCCAAAGTCTGAAAAAATTTCCAAATTCAAAACTTCTAGTCTCAGGTATTTCAGAAAAAGGACACTCCCTCTGTGCTAGTAGTGGAAGATGTCTGACACATGCTTTGGGGAACACTTCCAAGCTAACGTTGATGTGAATGACAGCCTTTTTGACACAGACACAAATCTGAAGAATGAGGCTGGGGGTGAGGTTAGTAAGGTGTCATCTTCACAGGATTACAGCAATTGAGATTTGTTTTCTTTTCAATACAGTGGAATTTTAGAAGGCATATATATATAAAGCTAATCACAGAATAAGACTCAGGTATTTTTATTTTTCCTATTTTGGAACCCAGACAGTTTGGTAATATGGAAAATATAAGGTATGTTTTTTGTTTCCTCCACCATCCCTCACAAGCCAACAAAGGAGCCACTGTTGAAAATCTTGGTTATATTCATGCACATTACAAGGCACAAAGAACCAATGCAACAAACAAGCAAAATCACTCACATCAGATAAGGAGAAATGACACTTCTTAATACTTCATGGACAGTACAGGAAATAAAGACTATTTTACTTTTCAGATATTCACACACAGAAAATCCTTCAGTTGAATGACTAGTTTCTATAACTAACTTTGGTGAAGTAATGACATAATAGAAAAGTCACCCGTGAAATACATAAATGTTTTGTACTCAGGGATATTTTCACATAACACACAGGTAATTAACTTAAGACTCTCAATCTCATCTTCATATCGATTATACTGTAAGCAGGATTTAGCTGCTCATGTTGTATATTTTAAATGTGTCGATGTGGCAATCCTTTACATGATCTCTGAAAAGGGAAGGTTCCATTACTGCAATGCTATTAAATTTTTGAATGTGATTGTCTTCTAATAACTGACTGGCATTACCTCCTTTGTGTAATTAATATTCTACCTGTTTTGGAGTAAATGTATTGATTTTCTTGGTGCTCAAAAATGTCTTGGAATAGGAAATATACTTGAAGGGAAAAACAGCTTTTGCCCTTCTCCAGTTTTGCTTACACATGTAATCAATATAAAGATAAACCATCCTCACAAATTTATAAGGTTAAAGCTTCTAATAAAAGTACAACACGAAGGCTGGGGATACAGCTCAGTGGTAGAGCACTTGCTGGGTTCAATCCCCAGCCCCACAAATAAAACAAAAACTTCAAACAAAATTACAACATGAACCAGCATGTGTGTGGATTGTATTTAGGAAGGGACAACAAGAAGTAATGCCATAAAATATGCCTCACCATTAGAAAGGCAAGGTGGACTTCATCTACATGTTCTACACATTGAAAGCATTAATTCCTCACAGACAATTAGCTCACAGATAGTTGAGAATCAGGGACACTCTTGTCTGTGTTCAAATCAAATGAAAGTTGAAATTTCTTTATGCAGCAAGTGAAGTAATACTATGAATTTTTGGAAGCAAATTGGCCTTTGAAAGAAAATCAAATTTGCTCTAAGTGGTTATAATCTATCAGAATTCTGGGTGACAACTACGATGCTCAGGCTGAGGAGGCTGTGTAGATGAGGGGCTGGTGAGTTGGAAAGACTACCTTCTGTTCCAAGAGAGGGCAATAAGTGCTGGCAAAGTTCTTATTACGAATGCGGGATGCAAGAACCCTAACTGAGAAGCTCCAGTAGCACCTCCCTGGACTGTATAGAGATCAACAGCAAGAAAAGATAAAAGAAACTTACCAGATTTTACCACTCATTCGGGATATTTTCAGAGCCAGAATATTTTTGTTAATTTATCTCAATTCACTGACATTCATTTCTGGTTTTACTCTCTTTACCTGGTAATTCTAATCCATTAATTTTATATTTAAAAGCATAAATGTTCTGAGTCATAGTTCTGTCTGTATATTGAAAATATTACTGCTAGAAATATTAATTTAAAGTACAAGTAGAGATTGTAGATTTTAATACATAAAAAGAGTTTTACACAGTAAATACCTGAGTGTCTATAAAGTGGGCAAAAACTCTGAAATAACCAGTAAGACATTAAGGCCAAGTAGAGAAGGGCTGTGATAGTCAACTGGCAGTCAACCAGCTTTTTGGACTCTTGAAAAGAAAGACTCTGTCATATATAGATATTATAGAAATAATATATTAGAATTATTGAAATAATAGAAAAATGCTTAACCAGTTGATATATATAGATATATAAGTGGGTAGTAAATATCTATTTCTATGCACTATAAATTCAGTGAAATTCTGAATAAAGGTCATAAACCAAAGGACTTACAGTAAATCATACAGATTCTATTCCTTTTGCAGATGACGATACAATTTCAAACTTTGTGGTTTAATGTGATTTAATTTCCTGTACTTTTGTGTTCATTTTCTGTTTTAATTAAGCACAGACTTTATAAGGCATAGTTTTTCTTTACCATTTGTAGAAGATCTCAGTAGCCAAAATTGGATATTCTTAATATACTTTGATATATCACAGTGTTTCAAGTAGAATTTAAGTGGTATGCCTTTACACTGTACTTTTATAATCTTCCCTTTAGAGTAATTATACTCTTGTGATGCCACTATCATTCTACTAGAAGATACTGGCACATGATTTATAAGTGCTTACATTTTTATTCCAACGTTAAGATAGTTTATAAATCCTCTAACGTTAAGGTCAGTAAACCTTGAACCCACAAGTGAAATCCAGCCTGCCACAAAATATTTACCATTAGGCCTTGATAGGAATAGTTTGTTGATCCCTCTCTAAACCTATGGAAGTTGTCTGGAATTCTGGGTAGAGTGTTTACAGTGGAATCAGTGTATGACTTAATTTGACTTTCTTTACAGACATCATATACATTATTGTTTCTGAATATTATCATCTACTTGGAAAACAAATAAAAATAAAATTATGTTAAAGAATTATTTCCTTGAAATGCTTAGAACCAACAAAACAATCATATAAAAGCAGAACATTTTAAAGAAAAAGTAATAAATGAACATTTACATTATAGTTATAAGTAATGATTTCAAAGTTTCTCAGAGAATGCAAGGCAGTAAGAGACATATCAAAATCCATAACAGATTTCTGGTTCTTAAACTTTTAGATTATAGTATTTAGCACAGTATTTAAGATTTTGCAGTTTCTCTGGAAGAGACATTGTAGAGAATCACAGTACTTATTACCAAAAAGAAAAAAAAAATCAAAAAAGAATGAATACAATTAAAAAAAAAATTTTTTTTTCTTTTTCCCTTACTAGGGAACTCTGTAGTCTGCTGGTGAAGAACTTGGTAGAAATTGACTGTTTTCATTTGGTGGGCTGATCACCCTATCTGTGTCAGATAAAATCATAGCACTTATCATTTGTTACCATGGATACCATGAAGATTCTGCCATCCACTAAAGAGTATTAGAGGAAGACAACATAATTTTCTGGAACTAGTCCTGTTTTGCCTTCATAAGTTGCCTTTAACCATCCTGGTTCCACTGATGGGTATACTGGGAAAAAAAGAAACAAAGTTCAATCAACATTTGATTAAAAAAATTATATAACCTAAACAAATGGGTAAAAATTCATCTCAAATTCTGTGTGTTCATTCACACTATCAAAACCATGCAATATTACAGCCTCTTTCCCTTTAGAGATGAAATATTCTTTGCATTCACATCGTTAATTTGTGTGTAAGTTTGTGTGTTTCTCCTTCATATAGAAATAAGCACAGAAACCAGCACGTATACATATGTGCTCCTGCAAGGGAAGAACCTGGGATCTAAGAAGATCTGATGTGTTCACTTATGCACGTTACACGAGACAGGGTCTAGATTAGAATCTGAGGTTCGTGGTTTTTATTTTAATTTTATTTATTTATTTTGGCACTGGGTTGTGATACACTTATGTGAAGTATATGGATGTACTTACCATTAGAAAATATTGCCCCCTGGGGGAAGGACAGCTCATGGCTGTGCTCTGCTTTACAGGAGTACATGGCTTTGGCTTGTCTAAAAGAACAAGACAATTTGTAAAAATCACAACACTCAGCTTGAGTACATCTATACTCAAAGCTTTTCTTAAAGAATGCTATTGATTGTTAATAACTGGAATACAATATATACAAACAAAATGCACCTATAGGTCGACATCAGTGCATTTTTCATGCATTGAACACAAAAGTATAACCATATCAGCAAACTGAACGTTACCGGTACACTAAAAGCTCTGTTTCCAAGCAATGCTTCTATGGGAGCCACCTAGTTTATAACCAACAGCATAGCTTGGTATTAAAGATTGCTATTACTTGGTAGGGAGCTGCTGAACAGGTTATTTTAAAAGCAATATAGGAACCAAGGTTCATAGTTACCCCAAAGCTTGTTTTGTTTTTCCCACTTTAATTTTTATACTACCTGAGATTAAAAGGCCTACAAGATAGGGAAAATATGTCGAGAAACACTAGTATGAGTTGATGATAAATGGCAGCGAGCCTCATGTCAGGAAGACAAGCAGGGATGTAAGGAAGCTCTGCAAGCCAGAGAGATGCCCACCTTCCAAAAAGGAAAGCCAGCATTTGGTTCCCAACAGTTGTTACCATATGTGAATTCATGTACAATGCAGCCAGATCATCCGGTTTTTAAGGAAAAGCCAGAACTTTTAGAGTATTCTGTGAGACCTGCTTTTAAAATATTTGAGGTAATACTAAAAAGCCATCATCAGATGTTGCTAATCAAGTCACCAAGCAAGTTCCCTTCACTCTGCAACATTCACTTACCATAAGACCTGCAGCTTTCCTAAATCTACCCATTTATTTCTCCCACAACCAGATGCCAAACCAAGTCATTTCTGGTGTAGCTGACTAAGAGATTTTCTTAATGTCGAAAATTTCTAGACTTCTTCTGTTCATTTATAATCCATTATGTACAGAGCAACCACAGAGCAGTTTTGAAACAGTCCATCAGGTCATTTTACTTCCTGATACTAACCCTTCAATGGTCTTCTAAATCCAGTTACAAATCCTACACCACCAGGTGTCTGTCTCTCCTGCCTGTTTTTGTACCTGCCTCTGATCCCTTACTACACTAGTCACACTGGCTCTTTTCCTCTTCCTCTACAAGGTCAAAAACACTCAGAGCAGCCCTGCCATCTCTGTAAGATGTTTTCCTCTTAGTCTTTACTTAGCTAGGCACTTAAGCTCATCAGAAATTGCATGAGCTTTGCTAGAAGGTCAGGTCTTCCCTAGCCATGGACTCTAAAATGCTAACCCAGAGAACTATTATCTTCTCCCAGTTTCAATCTGTGTGGTGTTAACATTTGGTATTCTGTGGTTATTAATGATGTTTTTGTTGTTTTTTTCTCAACTATAATGTCTTAGTTACTTTTCTCTTATTACTGATAAATACCCAACACCCAAAGTCAGAGGGGGAAGGGGCTTATTTGGCTTATAGTTCATAGAGGTTTCAGTCCATAATCAGCTGGCTCCAAGGCAGAGTGGCAGAGGGGCAACAATTCATGTTGGTGGAAGACACAAAGGCAGCAAGGACCTTAACAGTGTCTTTCTGCCGCTTTTGTCCCATCCAGACAGCCAGGATTAGGGTGGTGCTAAATCAATACTTACTGTAGTTGTTTAGCAATGGCATGCCATTAATCCTAGCACCACACATTCCAGATTCAGTCACCTCTCAAAAAGAAAGCGCCACCTCATCCACATGAGGCTTTGAGAGGGCGGCATCTAAACACAAGTCAGAACAACCTCCAAGGAAGAGGCCTGATGCTTTAGTATAACTAAATATTTGTAGCAACACATTAAATATTTGGTAAGTGATTAAGTGAAAAAAGGAAAGATGCTCTGGGCTCTTTCTGTATGACAGGCCCACTTAAAGATTCAGTGTGCTTTGTTTGTACTCCCTAATATCCCAGTACTACACCTGCAAAGAACATTAGCAATACTTGTCATCTCCAAAGATACAGCATTCTCTCATTAATTCGTTTCCCTATTAGAATTAGATCTTAGGTCTTGAAAATTTCAGAATGAGGCTTGGTCAATTAAGTTGGGGTTTCCAAACAAACATCTGTAGTGTATAGAATCCATTATCTGTTTATGTCCTACGAGGCAAATCCTACGCTCTCAGACAGCATTACTGGAGGATCAGGTTTAGGAACCAGCAGCCCAGACTGTACGGCCTCACAGTGAAGCATGCTCTAAGGCAGAAGTGAAGAAGCGAAGGCTCCTGGAAAGAACAGCTCTTTACATTCAAAAAAGAAAGAAAAAATAAATCTGTAGTGCCTGTGTCATGTGAGTAAACATGCGTGGGTGTGTAGGATACAGATATGCGAGGGGTAAGGGGAAAAGGATGCTACCGAGTTCTGAAAACCTTTATGAATCAGACTATGGTTACCCAGAATATTAGTTTCTCCTATAAACTAGCCAAGTATAACCACTTGATGTGATAAGGATATAACTGAGATTCTGAGAGCCACTACTTTAAATAATGGATGATTTTTTAAAGAATCAAGTTTTGTTTTACAGTGACTATGTTGTATTTGAGTTATTAAGAAGCAACTTATTAAATCTACAGGGAAACAATTTCTACAACTATAGAAGTAATTATGCCTTAATATTCTTTGCAATGATACAATTTTTTAAAGTATACTTTGAAATTCAGTCAAATTCTGATTAATATTTCAGGCATGAATATTCTCCTTTTAGTATTTTATGCCCTGGGTGAGGGTAGGAAGAAAACAGAACAAACGTACCACTAAAAATATTAAATGTGTCAAAACACAAAGCACAAAATACTGTCATGACTTTTCAATTATTTGTGAATATGACTAGATAGAGTTTCCTTCTGTTAGAGCTCTGTGCCTACAGTGTTAACTCAGAAGAAAGCTTTGATTAATGTAGACTGTGACAGTGAAGCTTCCTCTTCAGGTGCTAATGCTTCTTTTCCTGTCTTATGTATTGAAGAGCATGTGAAAATAACACTCACCTATTGTATCTCTTCAGACAATTCTAATAGCCTTTGAAAGGGATTTTGAAAACCTGCTTTTTACTACAAGGAAGAATAAGCTCATGAGAGTCACAGTCATTTCTTGCCTTATCACTGGGAAAATGATTTGCTTACAGCCTCCTTCCTAATTGTCAATGCCTTATAGTGCTGATGAGTAAATTTACAAATGTATGACAAGGTAACTGTGCACAATTTGCCAATCTCATCTTAAATATAAGAGAAATAAAAAAATCACCAAAATCAAAATAATGTTTCCTAGAGATGTTCAATAATCTCTCTCTCGGTATACTACTGAATTTCACTTTTGAAGGGAATAGTGGTGCATACTGAGAGAAAAATGCCTAAGGAGTATTAAATAAAAATTTTTAAAAAATCATAACAATCTAAGTGTTCATTAGCAGAGGTCTTAAGAAATTAGAGTATACCATTCATTTAGGTTTTATATACAACAACTACACATAATACTGTGAAAGAACACATGCCATAAAACAATGTTAGTA